CAGCTGACCTAGGGAGTCAATCCCCAGGCCAACAAACAGGAGTTGACAAGGGCAAGCCCAAGTCCAGGAACAGAAGAGCAGGGCTGTTAAGGTCATACTCAAGGGGAGGAGAACTCAAAGGGCTTGGTTTCAGCTCATGCATTGCACCCCTTACCCAAGTAGGTGCCCTTAATTTTCGAGAGGTAGGAAAGAAGTTCAGAGGGTCAGGAGTAACTAGAGTAGGACTACTACAGACAAGTCTGGAGTAGAAATGGAACGGAGGTAGACTACCCTAATGTAGAGCCAGAGATATAGTCCAAGGATTGAATCCAAAGACTTGGAGTTGGACAGGAGGTAAAACTCAAGTCCGGAGAGACAGGAATAAGTAGGAAATAAGATAATATTTGAACTGAGGAGGTACAGAGTTTTACAGGAGCTTATATACTGTAGGTACCAAGTAAGTAATCAGTCAGCATAGTGAAAAGCTATGTATCAGGCATGTGGAAAATCTATTAGTAAGTAGACAACAGATTGAAGAAACAGAGTCAGAAATGAATGCAGAGAGATGGATCAGTAAACAAGGTGGAAAAGTGTATAACTGGTAACTAGAGAAAAGGAGGTCTTAAAGGAGATAGGCATAAGGTTAGGTTTAGATCTGGAGATGAAAATGGAGCACCAGACAAAAAGCATGGTGGAAGTTCAGGCTTTATGGGGGAGGATCCAGAGTTCCGGGTTTGTAGATGCAGGATATGACAAGGGCTTAGAAAAGGTAATATTCAGACAAAGTATCTACAGAAAAAGCACATACATTTATATACTCTAAGTATGAAGCATAGCATAGCAGGAGGCTATGTGCTGAGTGTACAGAATTACAAGAAAGATGACTGAGACATACAAGTTGGAGGCTCAGAGAACAATATATACTCAACAGATCAATAATCACTCAGTTATAAGAAATACCGGTGATACAAAAGGAAGAACTACAATACCAAAAGGGGATAGGACCAGTTGAGGGGTTCTGTTAGGTACTGTGCATGGATGGAGAAGTGAATGGGTCAGGGCTTGGCTTCAGCTCTTGCGCTGCGCCCTTAGCCAAGTACATGCCCCGAATTTGGAGCGGGTCCAACGTTGTCTGACGATAGGATAAATGGACCACTTTGGTCCGCTTTGAGGGTCGGGGAATAAGAACTACTAGCGGCGGGCTGACTAGGAGCAGAGCGGGAGAAGGTGGGGAGTGATGCAGAGAGTGGATAGGAGCAGGGGAATGCTGGTAGGGGCGGGGGAAGGCAGAGGATAATGTGGAGGGACAAGGGAGAATATTTGATAGGGGCAGAGTATAAGGGGAAGACTTAGAGCATGGCTCTAAGTCGGAGCGGAGGGTCAGAGGGTTGGAGGGTAACAACAAGTTGAGACTTGTGTCCAGAGGAGGCAAGGTCCTACTGAGAATTCTCACAAGATTGTAACTGCAAGAAGACAAGTAATATTAAGACTGAGGAAAATATCTAAGTACAGGATATGTTATATACTTCTATGTATGAGGCAGTGATCAGGATAACTATGTAGTAAAGCTATGTACCAAGGATATAGTTTGTAAGTACTTTACATAGGTGAAGACATAAGTCAGAGCGGATATCAATATGTACGTGTTGGATCAGTGATCGAGCGGTAATAGGAATTACCGGTTGTCCAGAAGTAAGGGTCTATGTTACTAAAGGGGGAAGTATATATCTAAAAGGGGAAAGAGGTCCAGTTGAATGGGGAGGTTTATGGAAGGGGACTGGTTGAGCGGTTGAGCGGAAGCGTAGGGGCAGAATGTGGACTTGTGGTTGGACGGAGTGGAGGATGGATGGAGCGGAGGGGGTCGGAAAGCGGAGCGGATATCAATATTGGAGCGGTCGGATCAGGTATATGACAGCATTGAACCATCCTCAAGTATTCAAATGAATGGTGATCTGATGGGTGAGAGTTGGGCTAGTAATCTTCAGCTGATCCTTGCAAACCTGCAAATAGCTGTCTTTGTCTTGTATGTATGTCACCAGGACAGCATACCTCAACTTTGAGGTGAGAAATCTCCTCCTGTGCCCAACACATCTCGAAGGAAAGATCCATTGCATGGTGTGCTGCTGGTGAAGACCAAGGAGATTGAGAAACATCCACACATGTGTCATGTAGCAGGTTAAAGTCAGCTAGAAATGCATACATAATCAACAACCTCCTTCTACTTGAGAATTTGGGGGGGGGGGGGCAAGGGGTGACATTACACTGGCAATGGTGTTGTAGTTATTGAGGGTGGATCCGATTACAACAGAGCATTACTGTTCATCAAGATGTTGAGAGCTTGCTTGTATTTGCTATGCAGAAAATTTGCTGCAAAAATTGTGTCAGCAGGCACTTGCACATGAAGAGATATGAATATGAAGGTTTGCATATACCTGTCAGAACCATACCTAATGGGTAGGAAGGAGGTTATGGAGGGGGCGTAGCTTCAGCTCGTGCACTGCACTCCTTAGGCGAGTACAGTGCCCATAACTTTGAAGGACAGATAGAGATGGCCAAAGATCAACTCTGATGTACTCTGACAGGGGTATGGTTGTGGGGGACTATGTTCGACGTGCTTCAACAGAGGTAAGACTACAAGAGACTAAGTCTGACATACAAAGTAAGGCAAAGACTGTCAGAAGACAGAGGTGGAGGTCGGCGAGACTAGTCTGAGAGTCGGAAGAGACAATTGGCAAGACTTAAGTCAAGTCAGAGGTAGTTAGGATAAGTTCAAGTCTATATTCATATTGTAGAAACATTACTGAACTACATTGGGTTTAGTAGCAGAGTATAAAGTAATAACAAAAGGTACAATGTACCATAGTGTACAACAGGTTAGATTGGAATGGAGAGTCAGATCATACAAGCTACCAGGAATAGACGGAAAGCAGAATATACAAAAGAAACTCAGAATGGTCTGACAGGTGCCTCGTACCTTTTGAGTCAGGGGCAGAAGGATGTACCTGACGTCGGAGACATGTATTGAGAGGCAGAGGAGTATTTGTGAGGGTGGAGGACTATGATTGAAGACAGAGGATGTGTTAGGTACCGTGCTGACTCAGGAAGCAGAGGGGTTGGGGCTTGGCTTCAGCTCTTGTGCTGTGCCCTTAGCTGAGTACATGTCCTGAATTTGGAGCGGGTCCAATGTTGTCCGACAATAGGACAAGTGGTCCGCTTAGGTCCGCTTTGAGGGTCAGGAGGTAAGAGCTACTAGTGGCAGGCCAACTAGGAGCGGAGCGGAGAAGGCAGGAGTGATGTGGAGGGTGGATAGGAGCAGGGGGAATGTTTGGTAGGAGCTGGGAAGGTGGAGGATAATGCGGAGGATGGAAAAGTGTCATATACCTGATCCGACTGCTCTAATATCAATATCCACTCTGCTTTCCAATCACCTCCACTCCACCCATCCTCCGCTCTGTCCAATCATCGTCCACATCCGCTCCTACGTTTCCGCTCAACTGCTCAACCGGTCCCCTTCCATAACATCTCCATTTAACTGGACCTCTTTCCCCTTTTAGATATATACTTTCCCCTTTAGTACATAGACCCTTACTTCCGGATCACCAGTAATTCCTATTACTGCTCGATCACTGATCCAACGTGTACATATTGATATCCGCTCTGACTCATGTCTTCACCTGTGTAAGTACTTACAAATTATATCCTTGGTACATAGCTTTACAACATAGTTATCCTGGTCACTGCCTCATACATAGAAGTATATAACATATCATGTACTTAGATATTTTCCTCAGTCTTAATATTACTTGTCTTCTTGCAGTTACCTCTTGTGAGAATTCTCAGTAGGACCTTGCCTCCTCTGGACACAAGTCTCAACTTGTTGTCACCTCCGACCCTCCGCTCTGACTTAGAGCCATGCTTTAAGTATCCCTCTTATTTCTCCGCCCCTATCAATATTTTCCTTGCCCCTTTTCCCATCCTCTGCATTATCCTCCACCTTCCCCGCTCCTACCAAACATTCCCCCTGCTTCTATCCACCCTCCACATCACTCCCCGCCTTCTCTGCTCCGCTCCTAGTCGGCCCGCTGCTAGTAGCTCTTACTTCCCGACCCTCAAAGCAGACCTAAGCGGTTCACTCGTCCTATTGTCGGACAACATTGGACCCGCTCCAAATTCGGGGCACGTACTCGGCTAAGGGTGCAGCGCAAGAGCTGAAGCCAAGCCCCAACCCCTCTGCCTCCTAAGCTGGCATGGTACCTAATAAGAAGGGCCAGAGGGGAATATTGAAAGGGGCAGAGAAACAAGGGGGAGACTTAGAGCATGGCTCTAAGTCGGAGTGGAGGGTCAGAGGTGACAACAAGTTGAAACTTGTGTCCAGAGGAGGCAAGGTCCTACTGAGAATTCTCACAAGAGGTAACTGCAAGAAGACAAGTAATATTAAGACTGAGGAAAATATCTAAGTACATGATATGTTATATACTTCTATGTATGAGGCAGTGACCAGGATAACTATGTTGTAAAGCTATGTACCAAGGATATAATTTGTAAGTACTTACACAGGTGAAGACATGAGTCAGAGTGGATATCAATATGTACGTGTTGGATCAGTGATCGAGCGGTAATAGGAATTACTGGTGATCCAGAAGTAAGGGTCTATGTACTGAAGGGGAAAGTATATATCTAAAAAGGGAAAGAGGTCCAGTTGAATGGAGACATTATGGAAGGGGACTGGTTGAGCGGTTGAGCGGAAGCGTAGGGGTGGAATGCAGACTGTGATTGGACGGAGCAGAGGATGGATGGAGCGGAGGGTCGGAAAGCAGAGCGGATATTGATATTAGAGCGGTCGGATCAGGTATATGACAGGACACCAACTGAGGGCAGAGGAGACTTGTGTGGATTGTGGATATGACAATACCTTGAAGTCATTGTTGTGTTTAAAATAAGAGTCAATAGCCTGTTAGTGATGAAATACACTAGCATAATATAGAACTGATGCAGGAGAATTTGACTTTGAGAATGTGTGCTCACATGTCTCCCAGTCCTTGATTTTGAGACCTTTGATGTATCAAGCACCTGTGGGCATGTCCATAGAATGCGCCAACAAGACAAGTGTGATGTAGCAAGTGCATGAGAGGTCTAAGGGAGCTGTTTTCAAGTATTGTCTCAAATTAACAGCCAATATCATACCCACCACCCAAATTATTACTAAACACATTCAGGAACTTGGTAACATCAGCCAAGGGGTATTTTGCACTGTAAGGGCATCCAGTGTCCAAGATAGAAAAGCAAACATTATAAATTACTTATAGTTCTCTACTCCACACCATGTCTGTGATAAGCAAACAAACACCATGGCAGCAGACAGCTATGAAGACTCTGGTTTTGTCATATATCCCCCAAGCTTTTCTTGTCTTCACATCATCCACATTTTTCCACTGTCCTTTACATGACTCTAGGTTATCTGCAGGTGTGCCAGTGTCCTGACAGTCATTTAGTTGTTGCTACTATTCCTAATGTATGTTTAAGTTGATTACTCACCTTGTCACCTGTAGCAAACACTGAGTCTTGCATAAACTGGTCCACAAAGTTATGTGACAGATGATGGTTACTAGTGAGTAGCTGGTCAGTCGGAAGTTCAGGTGATACACTGAGAGAGTTGTCACCATCCAAAGATTGTTGGAGAACTCTTTTCAATGAGTCATTGCCATCCATGGCATAGAGCATCCTGAAAGTCAACTGTACTTCATTGGTCAGTACATGTATAAGTACATACAGGACAAGCATGTTTAAGGCACCAGTCAGGTGAGTCCTGTCAGAGTGATTTGGTTGTGATGGTAGCTACACAGTGTCTAATTTGGAGGTACAAGTCAAATGCAATTAAAAATTGGTGTGATAAATGTCAATGAAATTCAACCTATGCTATATATTTAGCACTGAGCATGAAGACTGAATGAGTAAGAAAACATACCCTATGTAAATTACTCATAGTTTTCATGAATGCCTGAATGGATAGATGAGGGCCCCTGAGATGTGCCACACAATATAATTCCAGGGCTTCTGTGCCAGTCATGCCTACCACTGGTGATATTGGATAGCAAGGCAGAACACCTTGATGAACAAGTGTAGAGGTGATGGTATGGTTAATGGATGATATTTTGAGTGTGATTTTATTAGCAACTGCACAATAAATGACATTATAGTAAGCTAATATTATGGAAGCCACAAGACACTTACAAAAGGCATCTATTACAGTCATTAACCACTGGCCACTATTAGAGTCAACTTTCACATTAGTCTCTTCACAGTTCAATTGATCAAAAAAACTTTGAAAGCCCATTTCTGATTTTTCTAAGCTCCAGACAAGGTACACATCAGTCATTTCCAGAATCTGCTTAGTGAAGGCAAAGTTTCTGCATAGAACACAATCTTAACATGTGTGATTATAGACTTGGTGATTCACCCCACTAGCACCATCCTTGCTGTTTACAAAGGTATGTATTAATACTAGCCAATCATACTAACACTCACATTCTCCAGAAGTCTCCTAAAACTTCTCTTGTCAGGTCATTGAACTTCCCTTCAGTGAGTGTGACTGATAGGGAGTGTTTCAGTGTCATTCCAGATATTGTCAAAACCTGTCATATACCTGATCCGACCACTCTGATATTAATATCCACTCTGGCTTCCAACCACCTCTGCTCCATCCATCCTTTGCTCCATCCAATCACAGTCCACATCCACCCCTATGCTTCCACCTGACCGCCCGACCAGTCACCTTCTAGAACATCTCCATTCAACTGGACCTCTTTCCCCTTTTAGATATATACTTTCCCCTTCAGTACATAGACCCTTACTTCCGGATCACCAGTAATTCCTCTTACCACTCGATCACTGATCTGACACATACAAGCCTGCTACTATTAGCACTTACCTCCTGACCCTCAAAGTGGACCAAAGTGGACCACTCGTCCTATCATTGGACAATGTCGGACCTGCTCCAAATTCAGGGCACGTACTCAGCTAAGGGCACAGCGCAAGAGCTGAAGCCAAGCCCCAACCCCTCCGCTTCTTGAGCCCGGCACAGTACCTAACAAAACCAAAGTCTTCTGAGTCTTTTTCAATGTTACTAGGGGAGCAGGCAGGGCCTTCTCAAAGTGCTTCCAGAGCTTGGCACTTGCTGATGGCCATTGCTTTGAACAAGGTTAGTTTAGTTATAATTTCCAACTTAAACAATAATATACTGGCTGCCTGTTGAACCAATGCTTTATGCTTGAGCACTTTTAATGCACCTTTTACCACAAGGACAGCCTTGACCTTTAAGCATACCTTTCAGATGGTCATCAATCATGTGTGGATAAAAAATACTCACTTCAAAATTGTACTTACCTGGACTATCCATAAGCTATGTGAAGTTATGCAGGGCATCCAAAGATTCCCTATGTCATATGGTGACTAATTGATGCTTTACCTGCAAGCATCTGAGTCCATCTGATTTCTGGTATTCCCTTAAGCTTGCTATATTCACCATGTCTGAGTTACATAGTCCCTTGCCATCTGATATCTTTGCCAATTGTTATATCTAGGACCTGCACCACTTGCTTAAAAGTATAACTCTATCAGGTATGTAAACATTCATCTGAAATCAGTGATATGTTCATGCTCAAGGATAGATTCATTATTGGACACAATTACTTGGATGCACAAGACTATCAAAGAGACAATCACCTTGGAACCTGAGGGCTTCTGGGTGATTACAGTTGGACAAGAAGTTGGTACATTCTGCTGCTGGTACATATCTGCACCATTTCATGTCTAATATCATTTACAATTATTTTAAGGCAACAAACCAATTTTATTAGTGGAAATATTTAGAAATGGTACCCTTCATTCCAGAAGGTGCTCGAGGTATACACTGTCAAATATAATGAAGGAAGAGTGCAAGTGGTCCCAATTCCAGGTGATCCTTTCTGTTCACCCTCACCCTCTTTATCATTCAGCTCAGATGACCTGTAGTTGCAAGTGGGGGACTTGTCAGAGACTATCTGACTTAGAGTCAGTGTGGCACTATCAAATTTATATACCTTCATGCTTGTTGTATTATCTTTGTGGATAGTACTTGTAACAGCTAAATGCAATCCAAATGATTATTGGTTCACTGAACATGCATCACCAATAGTATATGGCAACTTGAATTATCTACCAGTGTGATATTGCTAGACACCAATATGTTTGCCATAAGTTCTATATGTGGTCACCATGTGTTCAATACTATATATTTGCCAGAGTTCACCACAAGTTTTATATGTGTTCACCATGTGTTCTGTTATATGTTTGCCAGAGTTTGAGCCCATTTAGTGTCAAACTCCATCTTAGACAGGTCAACTAAGGTACATAATATCCCATATCAGATGGGCCAATGTGGCCACTATGTGTAAGGCATTTGATAGAGATGGGAGGGCCAAGATATTTGAATAATCTAGACTAGTGGGCACATGGAACCGTCAATTATATACACTGATGGGCCCATGAAACTGTTAATTATATAGATGGATGTGCCAGGAAGGCAGATATCAATTCAGTGATACTGGATGTTGGAATATGGTACTCAGTGCTTAGTGGTTGTTGATCAGTGATCAGGACTTGAAACTCAGGACTTGGGACTCAGTGTGTGGTGTTCAGCACTCAGTACTTAGTACTTGGTACTTGGTGCTCAATACTTAATGCTCACTATCTGATGCTTGATACTTGCAAGATTTTATCCCATAATGCCACTCTGCTCAGGCTTCTATATTCTTTCATATTATCATATAATATAATCAGATATCATGTGATGAATATTTGGTCTGAATTTGCCAACTCTATCTACAAAAAGCATGTCCTTACTGATTTCCTGATGACTATGCATAACCCACATACTTTTGTTAGAATAAATGGAAGAACCAAACCAAGCCATACATGAGCTGAACAGGACTATGGTCCAGTGTCACTTGCTGTTCAGTTATGTATACTAATGAGTATACTATACCTAGAGTCTAGTGTCAGTTGCTAAAGAGCAACCAACATAGGACTGACTATATAAGTCCAAATGTATGTAAATAAATGTAAACACATCCTTATCAAGTAAGTAAGTCACATAGCACTAATGACTTGCACCATAAGGTGTTCAATCACCACAACTAACAGCTTTAAATCACTACACAGGCCTTCCTATTGTTAGTTGTGGTGGAGCACCTTATGGGTAGTGTTTACACTTGTTTACATAGACTTGCCCATAGATAGCACGTTCTATGTTGGTTACTCTTTATCCACTGACACTGGACTATAGTCCTATTCACTCTCATTGGCTTACTTGTGGCTTAGTCCTTCCAGTTATTATTATTCTAACACCTATACACCCACCCAACAGCCACTCACCACCTTCCATACTAGGCTATCACCTCCTCCACCTTTCCACAGCTAAACAGGAGGGAATTCCACAAAACCAGGCTACATCCAATAGTAGTATTTTATGAGTAGTATGCATTGATTTACACATGTTTGTGCCCGTAGTACTGATTAGAATGATATTCAACATACATTCATGGCACTATACCATGAAGGTCTATTTTTATTTGGTAGTCCTAGAACAGATACTCAAGCTTGCTATGCATAACAGCAAGCTTAAAGGTTCAGGCAATGACTATGTGCTGGTGGCATTCAAATGCATGTCCCACCAAAACTGGTAGGTTGACTAACTTTCTTTCAATGCAGCTTTAAAACACTAACACTTAAAACACATTGTGTTATAACTAGCATTCACTGAATGGCAAAGACTAAACAACTACACTAGGACTCAGTTGTAGATGATGATGTGCAAGGATAGGATTGAGCATAAATGTCTAGGCTACTACAAGTGTAGAAATGAAGAGGTTAAGTCTAAGGAGTACTTACACTAACTAACCTACTTATATACATAACATTGAATCAGAGATATCTGAGTATGAAACAAATCAGTCAATGAGAGTAGCCTTTCTGATCACAGATATAGGAACCAATGATGTTATCATTGGAATAGATTGGCTACAATACCACAATCCCAGTATTGACTGTAATGCAGGAAAGGTGGTATTAGACTGTTGTCCAGTCAAGTGTCAAGAAGCCATGGTTGAGGACAAAAAGACCAAGGCAAAGAAGCGAAAGACTGTAGCTTCAAAGCCCCTGTACAGTTGAGAAAAGGACTAGAGGAAAAGAATACAAAAGATGGACTTATCCTATTCAGAGGATTGGTTTACATTCCAAATAACAAGGAAATTTGTCACTTAGTATTAGAAATATTCCATGATTCACCTGCAGCAGGACACATGGGACATGCCAAAACTCTCGAACTTATCTCTTGGAACTATTGGTGGCCTCAGATGCAGAAGTGGGTCAATGACTATGTAGATAGATGTGATCAATGCAAACAAACAAAGGTGTTACCATCAAAACTGCATGGTCTCTTGAAGCCAAATGAAATCCCAGAAGGTCCATGGCAAATCATTAGCTGTGACCTTATCACCAATCTACCTGTTTTCCAAGGCAAGGACTGTATCCTAGTAGTTGTTGATTATTTCACCAAGCAAGCACATGTTGCTCCTACCACCAAGGACATTAATTCCAAGGGAATTGCAGACTTATTTCTCAAACACATGTGGAAATTCCATGAAACACCAAAGAAGGTGATTTTCGATAGGGGAACACAATTTGTGTCAAAGTTTAATCAGGAAGTCTCAAAGAGACTAGGAACCAAGTGGTCTATGTCAACAGCATATCACCCTCAAACTGATGGCCAAATTGAACAAGTCAATTTATCAAAATGACTGGGTATCATGGCTTCCCATTGCAGAATTTACACACAATAATTCCATAACAGTTACTGGACATTCCCCTTTGAAAACCCTCTATGGCTGTAACCCTGAATTTGTCATTTCTCCTAATTCCTCCAACACCGTTCCTCAAGCCGATAAGAGAATAGCAGAGATGAAGGAAGTGCAGGAAGAAGCAAAGATGATGCTAGAAATAGCAAATGATCGAATGGAACACTTCTATGATCATGGAGTAAAAGACGCACCCATTTTGGAAGTTGGACAGAAGGTCTGGTTAGACACCAAAAACATCAAATAATGGTGCCTGAGTCAGAAGTTGTCAGATTGCTGCCTAGGGCCCTTTGAAATACTTGAGCGAATAGGTGAGTTAAACTATCAGATCAAATTACCTCAATCATATCAGATCCATCTG